TCCAGAACAAGATACACCCCTACATAAGCCCGTACAAGGCACTGAGGCTAGGGATCCTCAAAACCATGATGATGATGGCCTTCGCCTAGGATCTAAAACCGAAGAATGGAAAGGAAAACAAATTCTGCAAAGAATTCCAATCGATTGAAGACACAAATCCAAAAACAGTTCCAAGACATCCCTATCTTAGACAATGGGGTAGGGGCAAATAATCCAAACCCTATGGCTAGGGATTCCCAAATTCACAATGATGGGAATAGCCTTAGCCCGGGTTCTAAAACTCAAGAAAAGAAGGAAAAACAAAGCAATTCATAAAGAATCTCAATTCTAGTTAAAGATACATGCTTACTTCCATGATCTCCTTGTGATACATGTCACCACAAAAGCAAACGGCTTGATTAGTCTAATTTTTCAAGTAAGGGTAGCAGACAACTCACCAGTGGCTAAAGCCATCCATAAGGTCAACCGAGATCCTGAGGTTAGGGATTCAGAAGACCACAAGAATGAGGAATGCCTTAGTCTCGAGACTACAGATCAAGAAGAGACAAACCAAAAAGTAGTTCCGTGTGAAGCAAATCAAAGACAACAATGGGAAAAAATCAAGAAATGGGGTTGAGGTCAAGGTGGTAGCACCACCTGTGACTCAGTTTCCATTCCTATCTTTGCTAACCCCTGTAAAAAACTACTCACAGTTTCAAATATTGCTAACCCACTACTAACAATGACATTCCAAAAAACACAAGAAATGATTGGAGAAAACCAAGGATAAGAATATTCAAGTTCAAAAGAAAATTTATCTCCTCAAAGATTTTTGAAGGAACTTGAACCTCTGGAAATCCAAGAGCTCCACGTGGGCCTCCTTCACCCGACTTCTTGGCAAACCCACCTAGTTGGGCTGGGAGTTGAGCCTAGAAGAGTTGATAACACCATCCTCTAAGGCGGATCCAATAGTTAATGTTGAAGAAGCGAAGGCCTAGACCTCCCCTCAAATATTTTTGGAAGAACTTGAACCTCTGGAAATCAAAGAGCGCCACGTGGACCTCCTTCACCCAACTTCTTGGCAAACCCATATATCTGGGATGAGGAGTTGAGCCTAGAAGAGTGGATGGTGTAGAGTTGATAACACCATCCTCTAAGGCGGATCCAATAGTTAATGTCGAAGAATCGGAGGCCCAGACCTGACCACTCCTAAAGATTCAACAATTGTTCGAGAGTCCAGAGAAATTGAACCCCTAAAAATTCTAAGGGGGCCACCAAGACCACTCTCACAAGATTTCCTGGATGATCCACCTATTTGGGATGAAGAACCCCAAGAAGAAGATAGGGGCAGGAACACGAATCCGTTAACTAGAGCAGCCCATATTCGAGAAGATCTACTCTTGAAACAAAAAGTGTCGAAGAAGATCCAACAGGGACAGTCCCATCTACCAGCTGAATAAGAATCCTACGCCTTATCTGACAACTCCCAACATGTCATAGCACCATTAACTCTAGAAAAACAACATGAAATTCTAGATGAGAAGATCACGGAAAAGGAATAGGCTGATCACTTGCTCCTCCCTCTCAAATAGCCAGGTGGGACATCCACGTTTCGCTTAGGCACCCTACTCCACAGCATTGACGACCTACAGAATCATAAAACAAAAAAACAAAAAGGAAAGAAAAAAATTCACCCATTCAAGGGAAATAAACCAAATGAGCTTAGACGACCCAAAAGGAGATTGAATGACTGGAGGGGGAAGGATGATCGAGTTTTCCTATGTTTCTTGGAAGAAGTGACACTATAAGTGAAAATGTACCAATGACTCTTCTTCTCCTCCTCCTCCACTTTCTTCAAAAGAAAAAAAGAAAAAAGAAAGAGAAAAGAAAAAGCACAATCCTCCTAGCTGAAATTCTGAAAGGAACCTCGAGCATTAAAATAAAAAAAAGGCCACTGGGATGAACACCTGAAAGGGATCCCGAGGCGATAGGAAATAGAAATTCTCTCTCTTTTCGTCTCTTTTTCAAAGCCTCTTCTCTCTAAAAACATCTTCTTATCTTCCCTTTCCAAGTTAGAGTGGTGTCAAAAAGCAAAGTAATCTGAAAAGTATTGAGTCCAAGTAAACCTCAAGAGCCTCGACTATCTAAACTTCAAAGGGGTGCTAGTAGAGTAATGAAATTGGACGTCCAAGGAGATTCTAAGCATTCAAGGCCAATGTCCCAAATTATCTAAGACCTTGGCTTGCTCGAAAAACTGTAGAGAACTCTCTTTTGAATTGTGACACATGGGCCAAGATTGGGAGATGAAAGAAATACTCAATTATTCCCCGTCCTAAAGGCCCCAAAAAGAGGTGCGGCAGCCGACAAGCTCATCATATTCACGGGGGGGGGGGGTACTCCATGGTAGAATGAGCCTAAATTGCATATCAACCCGTTTTTCGAAATTCTCTCCCTCTTTCAAAATTTTCGCATGCGTTCGTGATTTCAAAACATCAAAGTTTCTTTGTTAAAATCGTATGCCCAGACATTTGGTTCTGTTTTCAAATTTTCACCTTTGTTTTTAAAATTGCTAAAAATATTTCCCAAAACGAAGGAATTGGACAATCCATACATGATGCTACCACATTTTTGCCTTCTCTAAAAGTCTTAAACGATGGGGTTAAATACTTAGGAAAACCGATTTTTAGGAAAACAACCCATTGGTTCCCAAAATCTTGGCCTGAACCTATGGTCCTCAGATTTAGAATCAAAAGGTGAAAATAAATTTCATTAGCAGGATTTTCTCCACCATCGACTATCTTCTAAATTCAAGTTCCAATCCAATTGAAAACCAATTCCCAAAAAGCAAAGGTCTAAAACCAAAGATGTCTATCAGGCGTCCTAGATAGCACTATGGTGGCCTCAACAAAAATTACCATCCCATAATCAACACAGTTCCTGTTCAATGTCACTACAGATACCGATTAAGAGAGAGCTCCTAACAAAAAAATAACTGCCTCAAAGTCAGCACAGTTTTCATTAACATCTTACATATCAAAATCCATGAATGTACTGCCTTCCCCAAAGAGTACTGGTCATTCAAAAAGAATGACCCCTCCTAATTTTTTCCATCATGTATCGGGTGTTTATTTCTTTGCCATTCACCCGATGTCTCAGGTGAATGCTAATGAGGGGCAAATGGAGACACCCCCCAAGAAATTCCGGCTAATAGGATTCCCAAAAGCCTAAGTTTTGAGTTTCAAGGACCATATTAAGGCTAGCGAACCTAGACCTCCTAGAATTGTAACTAGACCTAAAACTTAGCCCAAAAGCTACCTAATACCCTCAACTAGTCATCTTAGACACTCATGTGCCTAATAAACATAGAAAACTAACCTGAATACCAATCTGACAACCAGAAACCTGAAACTAAAACCCTGAAGTCTTAGTTTTATGGAACCCTTAAAATTAACTCAAATTTGACCAAATTTGGCTCCAAATTATAGCGGAGCACACAAGCTTTTCAAAGTTCCAAGAATCACCTAAATCCAACTTACAGTTAGAGAGTTATGGGGCAAAAAAATGAGTTCATAAAAATGACAGTTGAGTCCCTATGCATCTAGGATCAACTTGCGCATGCACAACTCGCAGCAAGTCATGCAAATTTATGGCCACAATGTCGCCCAAAAAAGCCCAGAATTTTTTGGAAATTTCTAAAGACTTCTAGGGTTCTCTATGTAGGTTCTTGAACGTGTTTTGACACGTAAAACCCTAGGAATTTTGGCGAATATTCCTTACAAGATGCTTAGAACCCAAGCCTATAAGAAACCCCCTTTATTCACAGAAATAGAACAAAATTAGTCCAGATATCCTTATAAAATCCTAGAAAATCCCAAATCCCCTAAAAAATTAGGAAAAGCCCCTAATAAATTAGGAAAAATTCCTAGAAAACCCTAAAATATTCCCTTAATCTCTAGAAACCCTAGATATAGGGAAAACCCTAGAAAAGCCCAAGGCTAGAAACCGTAAGCCAAGATTATTTCAAATTTTCCTTAAAAATCCCCAAAAATCAAAACGCTAGGAACAAGACCTCCTAGATCAAAAACATTTATAAAGCATTCTTCAATAAAGCAAGAGAAGGCACCAAAGGTGTAAATCAACCCAGGTCATACGAGCCCCAATTCCGGGTTTCTTAAATATGTGATATTTCCTTCTCCTCTAGTTATCGTTATTTGTTTCTTTATTTTCTGTTTATTTCTTGATTTCTTAGTTTAATTTAGAATTCATAACTTTTAAAATATCTAGTAGGTGTGAGATTTACAGCTGGCGCTTCCAGTAGATCCAAAAAAGGCCCTGTCAAATTTGTACCTGTTTTGGATCTATAATTTGAGCGGTCCCACATTCTCTATTGATTTATCAAATTTTAAATAGTCTTGCATGAAATTGAGTTGATCTCGCTCAGAGATCAGCGCAGATTTGAGCATAAACAAGGAGATGTCACATGGTCAACATTAAAGATCATTATAGGTGAATTCAATGGCTGATTTATCTTTGCAATCATAACAGACAATTCCACCTAATGGATTCCCGAACTCAGGAGAAATCTTATTATTTTACTTTTTTGGTTCTGTTATTACTCCGAAGTTTGCCATACTTTGTGCTTGTATTGTGCTGGGTTTAATCAAATGTTGAAGATTCCAATGCTCCAGGTCATTTCCAAACCATAAAGCAATATCCAGCAAATGAGCAGAAAAGATGGCACAATGTGAAGCTTCAAATTCAGTCCAGGAGAAAATTATAATGCTTGTTCAGGGTTTGAAGAAAGGCAGTTATCAAGAGAAGAAACAAAGACGAGATATAAGCGAGGGGAAGTGGTGATCCACACGGAAAAGTTTAAAATACACAGCATACTAACTACTGTGCAACAGAACTAATATCAGCGAGGTCAAATGAACAACTCATTCAAAATTAAAGAACATGAATCTCTAAACACGAGAATAAAACCGAAAATTACTTCAATAGAATGAGAGAATAAAACGAACCTGGAGATTCTCCGAGCAAGTGCAGTATTAAAGGTAGGAGAATGGGGTTTAAGGGTTTTGTCAGAGCGCAAACAATGGAAGGCAGGGGACGACGAAGGTGGAGTTGCGTTAAGGGGGACGACATGAAAGCGGCAGAAAGGGGAATGAGACATTGCGAGAGACGGCACCATCTCTCTCTGTGTCTCACCTGCACCTTTCTCTCTCCAACCCCTCTTTTTCCCTTGTCGGAGCGATCTCTCTCTCTCGACTCTTCTATCTGCCCGCCTTATCTTTTACGTTCAAATGAACGGAATTGGAGGGCGCATGGGTTGCCGCCGCTCCAGCCTTTATGTAAGGTAAAATATACAATGAGACCAATTACTTTTTATGGGGGGTCACAATTCATTTTATGGGTAAAATATACAATGAAACCGCTTACTTTTTATGGGGGTTCACAATTCATTTTGACCTTTGGATGTGAAATTGAGTCGCTGCATTTATTTCATTAACTAGATTCATAATTTAAATAAAAAAAATTACAAACTTTATGACACACCCAAGCTATCAAATTTCATATGCAATATTTATAAGTAATTGAGATCTCCTTATGCAATAAGTAAAAGAAAAAGCTTATATAGAACCGAGGCTCTAAACCAGTGTTTAAAAAAACGCCGAGTCAAATCGAATTCGCCCGGTTCGACTCAAGAATCGTCATAGACGGCTTGAATAGCTAAAAAAATTGGGAATCGTCCGGTTCTAGAGAGAACCGAATGATTCTGCACAGTGACTCGCCGATTCACTGTACGGAATCGGCGAGTCCCGTGAAGAACACGGGCTGCACAGTATTCTTCACGGGATTCTTCGAAATTTGTCATTTTTTTATCATTTTTTTTGTTTTTTTTGGCTATGTGATCTAATTTGCAGGCTTTATTCAGCTTTTACACGGATTAAATGGTTTAGAAATTTTGTGTTTTTGGATCACGAAACTTACATTTTTAGGATTTCCACATGTCCTTGTGTTTCATGCCAAATAGG